AAAAAAAAAAAAAAAAAAAAAAAAAAAAAAAAAAAAAAAATCCTGCAGAATTGAAATAGTATACGCAATCATTTAAAGGTGAGAATTAGTTCAACAAATTGACATTCGAAATTTTCTAACGATATGATGGTTGTAATATTGTATGCCATTACATTAGATTCTTTTTGGGTTCCAAAGAACAAATCATTCTTTTGCCCTCTCGCATGTTGAGATTTTTATTTTTGATCTGTGATGGCTTTCTAAAAGTTGACCAACTATATCTAATTGCGGAGTACTTGAAACTATTCCGTTGTTTATTACTATATCAATATTCAGTGCTCTTTCACAGAAAAGTTTCTCCTTGGCTAGGCTGTTCACGTTACAAATGGTCACAGCTCTTGTGAAAACAGTCCATTGAATCATCCCCAACTGTAGTCCATATGGAATTTATGTACTTCGTTCCTCGACATTTCTATGATATTATGAACTTATCATTGAGTCCTTTTCATCTTGTTATCATACTCATCCGTTCATGAAAATGAGGATGAATAGGTAAATGTATTGGCATAGATGCTGCACAGTCCCATGACCAATCTTATCCACAAGATGCTCCCAAGTCACTAGCTAAGCTTTTAGACAAGAAATATATTGTTAGGAGACTACAACCAGATTCATACGAGACCCATAATTTGTTGTTTGTAACACTTGAGCTAACTAGAGTGTGAACTCCATGGGCTTGAAATATAAGTGACATTTTAGAATTTAATTACATCATCTCATCTCGACTTTATCAATCTCACTCTTGAGTCGTGAGTCGTGGCTCCATTAAAAGACCTTACATAAGGATCGTCCAAATAACATTTCTCAATAGACTTCATTTTCAACTCTTAAGGGCAAAAAAATTATCCCATCATAATTAGCAAAGGTGATAATACTGTTTTATCCAATCTGAGCCTGCTTTTAAGTTCAACGTTGCCGACATGTGTAGAAGTTATTAGAAAGTGAAGTAAATAGAATGACATAAAATTAATAAAAAAAAAAAGTGATGTCATTTCCGATGGCAGTTGTTGGGTTAAAAGAAATGAATAATCTAGAAGAAATCAACCACAAATCTTAATCATTATTTTTTATTTGTGGAAAGATATTGCTTCTCCATCAATTCAATGGCGATTTATGTTCCTAATCCCATTGTGTTGGGCATAACGGTTGAGAATAAAAGTGTGGCGTAAAAAGGAAGCTCTTTTCATCTCCCCCACCTCTCCTTTTTCAAACATTTTTTATTTTTTTTATACCACCTTTACTTTTCATTCCATTCCATTCACGTACTCAAACAATGTAATTAATTAAGCTTAAGTTACCACCAAATCCTAAACTTAACTACTGAATAAATGGAGTAAATTTGACTTATTTTCACCTTTTATCCGTATTAAAATGTAGATTCATATGCTAATAATACAAACCTCAAAAAAATAATAATAAATAAACCATTAATATAAAAAGATGGGTAAAAACTGATCTTTTTCCCAAATTAAACCAAGAATTCTCATTTATATTTAATTTGAATGGTAGACTAGCTAGAGTGTAATATTATATTACGAGGGGAATCCCAGTAGGGGTTTCTTTTATTTATTTATTTATTTATTTATTTATTTATTTATTATTATTATCAAAAGAATAATATATAATTTGAGGGTTGTTGGACTAAAAACATTTGAATAATATTTTATATTTATAGAGCTGAAAGTTTGGTTAGTTGGTGTTGTCGAAAGAGGGTTTGTAGGGAAGTATTAATACAAGTACTTCCCTTTTGATAAGCAGCCTATAACCATGTCGTCAGATTCACATATAATCTAATTATGTGTGAAGATTTAATTAAATACGTGTTAATTATGCTAATTACATATATGTTGTCTTTTGGAAGAGGAGTGCATATAATGTTAGTCTCATAGAAAATTAAAGGAAAATATGATTTAGAAACTAGTTTGATTTAACCTTCCTAACACGAAAGCGTAAGAAAAAAGAGATGAAAAAAAGTAAAATTTATAATATTTTGCATGGAAATGGAAAGGTAAAAAATGGTACACGTGGAGGGAGAGAACGAGGAAACTGGAAATGAAAATGTATTGGGTGGAAACTTCAAAGAATAAGCAAATCAGTTGTTTAGCTGAAATTATGACTTTCCTCTCCTTCTCTCTGCTCTCAAACTCAACACTGCTCAGCTGACATGACCAACTTTCTTTCTTCTTTTTTTTTTTTTTTTTTAATTTAATTATACACAAACCCTCCTCCAACAAGCAACCCCTTTTTTTTTTCTTTCTTTTTTTTACTCTTTAATTTAATTTAATCCATTGTTTTAGAATACCTTTGAATGTGTCAGGAACTACGACTATGATATTATCTACTTTAAGTATATAAACTCTCGTAATTTTGCTTTGGATTATTTGATTATAAACCCATGATGAAACGTGAGACTTTGTTCCGATTTTGTATTGGAAAGCCGAGATTTAAGAGGATTAAAGAAACGTGGAGAGGATTTGAGGGTTTGCCCATATTCCATAGCGATGGTGGACAGAGAAGAAAAGGACGAAAGGATCAACAAATGCCATTGACGAATGGATTCACACTTGAGCTTTCAATCACAAATCAATACGTCTTTAGGTTATTATCAAAATACATTTCCAAAACTTTACATTGTTTGCTTCACCAACTTCTTCTCTAACCAGCGCCCTTCTCCGTCAATAACTCTCATCATCACTCCTTTATTTAAAAATATATAAATCTACTATAATCTATTATATTATGTTTCTGCCATGCTACCAAAATCTTGTAAGCTTCTACTCTTGTTTTCGATGCAAATTCCATAACTGAAGGAATTTTGTTTATATATTATAAATCATGAACCACACGGCCCTAGGATTATTAGAAGAGGAGTCAGTCAGTCTCCGACTAATTGAGGAGTTGATCATGGATTTTTAAGTAATGAATGAATATATCTTCATTGGTATGAGGCCTGAAGAACACGACTCTCCGTAATAGTATAGAAATTTACTTTGGGTTCCCTCAAAATGCCTCGTACCAATAGAGAGAGTATTATTTGATTATAAACTCATCATCATTCCTTAAATTAGCAGACGTGGGACTTTGCTCCACGGTGGATTTTTAAACTCAAACCAACACTTTAATTTCTGGTTACAAGCAACCGCGTTTAATCAAAAAACACAAAAAACCCAGAAGTAATTTTAAATTACAGCATATCTGTGGCAGTTAGTACTAATCTACCGAAGCTAATATTTTATTTTTGCATATTTTCTTCCTGGTTTTACCTTCGTGTTTAATGTTATGGAGCTTGCCATTCTTACAAGAAACTAAGAATTCAAAGTTGTAATCACAAGGAGACTGATATTTCATAATATGAGTAGCTACTTTATTAGACTTTATGAACTCCACATTCAGGACCAAACACAACTATATATTAAAATACTAATTTCCTAGTATATATATATATTAAGAATCCCCAGAAAATACCATATACATCAGGATCCACTTTGTGTCAATAACCATAATATTAACCTCGTTTTTGTCGTCAACATTTTGATACACAAAATTGTTAGGTACTTCAAATCAATTATTTAATCCTCCAAATTTTAGTGGGACTCTGTGTTAATATAAACTTCAAAAAAAATCGTAGGTTGGGCCATGGACAGATATTATTTACGTAAAGTTTAAATCGCTAAGGTTTTGGTATAGCCATGCAGACGAGGTGACGACCACGACTGGCCCCCTCTCGTTTGCGTGCATGGAATGCTTCCACTTCTACCAATCACAATGTGCCATCTGTTCCGCTGGTACTGAATTCCAATCACTACAATTCTCACGTTAATTAAATAATTGATTAAAACCCCAAAAATAGCCTCGATAGAATTGAATAGTATGGATGGGATACAAAAGGGGTAGTATTGGGATTTCACATGGGAGAGGAAATAATTAAATAGCGAATGGGGAAGTAGCACGTCAGCCGGCTTCCATGTGGATGGAGAAGTGGGGACCACGGGAGAAGAAAGACGGTGTTGTGTATAAATAGAAAGGCTATGGTTAATAGGTTGGAATGGAGGAGGCAGCTGAACCATAAAACTCTTGAACTTGGTAGAAGAAGAAAGTGAAGCTTATTAGAAAATGGGAAGGAGCCCTTGCTGTGATGAGAGTGGCCTGAAAAAGGGACCTTGGACCCCTGAGGAAGACCAAAAGCTCATCAAACATATCCAAAACCACGGCCATGGCAGCTGGAGAGCCCTCCCCAAACTCGCCGGTATGTGCCTCTATTTCAAACCCCAACTACTCCGTTACGTTGCTCCTTAGTCTATTTAATTTGGAGTTGGGACTGTGTTTTTCAGGGCTTAATCGATGTGGGAAAAGCTGCAGATTGAGGTGGACAAACTACTTAAGGCCAGATATAAAAAGGGGCAAATTCTCTCAAGAAGAAGAGCAAACCATTCTCAATCTCCATTCCGTCCTTGGAAACAAGTAAATTTAAATTAAAACAATGTTTTTACAAACTAATTATATAATTGGGCCTCATTATTAACGTGTTTGGTTTGTGTTGTTAAATGAAGGTGGTCAGCAATTGCAAGCCACCTACCTGGACGAACAGATAACGAGATCAAGAATTTTTGGAACACTCACTTGAAGAAAAAGCTAATTCAGATGGGTTTCGATCCAATGACCCACCGGCCTCGAACCGACATATTTTCGAGTTTGCCACACATCATCGCCTTGGCCAGTCTTAAAGAACTCATGGAGAATCCGTCATGGGAAGAACAGGCATTGAGATTGCAAGCAGAAGCTCTTCAAATGGCTAAGTTTCAATACCTTCAATTCCTCCTTCAACCACCTCCCACCACATCTTCCTTAACCAATACTACTACTAATAATAATCCCACTGAAATTGAAATCATGAACTTAATCAACTCTCTCTTCGAAAGCCAAATGACCACTCCAAATACTAATACTCCTCTCACCGCACCAACCACTCTCCAACCACTCGCCACTGACTCGGCTGGTCTCCCCTTTTCCCATTTGCCAAGCTTGGAGATAGTTCCAAATACCACAAACACTTACGAAACCCTGCCCTTCATTGCTAAGGAAATGTGCGGCCAAAACAATGAAGTGTCTGGTCCTAATAATTGTTCGTGGCAGCTGCCTTCCTCTTCCACCACCCCATCGCCACCCGCCGTCGATCCACCGTTGCCGCCCCTGAATATTATTCACGACGGCCCTTCTTCAAACAGCAATTATGGAGATGCATGTAGCACTTCAAGCTTTGCTGGATCCTCCGCTTCCATTTGGCCAGACCACCTCCTCCTTGAAGACGCTTTGTTTCATGATATTCCTTCGCTTTAGAATTAGAGATATATCATATATTTAATGCTTTTTTGTAACTATTTGGGTGCCTATATTTTAAATTAAACAACATCTGAGGATTTACTTATGCAGCCTATGTGTTCATATTATGTATAATTTTTCTATGTGGGAAAGAATTTCAGTACATCAAATTCCAGATTTTAATTAAAAAAAAAAAATCATCATCTAGAAATAAAACTTTGTTTTTCATTCTCTTAGTTTCATAGCCTCATTAAACAGTATTTAATCCATACTAATCATTCACCAAATTTAACCTGCAGCAGCTGACCTACTCTTTTTAATTTATT